TTTGGGAGAGTAAGACTCGTAGTGTGAGGAGAGGACATCTTCTCCCGTACACCTCCTGTAGATCTCGTAGGTTTTTCTGAAAAAAAGCCCCAAACCCATTCTTTATCTGGGAGTGTAGTGATAGGACAAGGGCTAATGGTTTCAAACTAAAAGAATGTAGGTTGAGATGGGGTGTTAGGAAGAAGTTCTTCACTGTGAGGGTGGTGAGACCCTGGCCCAGGTTGCCCAGAGAAGCTGTGGATGCCTCATCCCTGCAAGTTCTCAAGGCCAGGCTGGCCGGGGCTCGGAGCAGCCGCTCTGGGGAGGGCTCTCTGCCCATGGCAAGGAGCTTGAACTGGATGGTCTTAAAGGTCTCTTCCAACCCAAACTATGCTGTAATTCTATGATTTGGAAGCTTAGGTCAAAAAAATAACATGATCTGGAAGCACTGTCAGCACAGTTTGCGAATCTGAAGGCAGACACTTGGGATTATTTTCCAGCTCGCTGCTTGGATACCTCACTGGTCTTCAGCTGGGTGCTAGCTGATGAGCTTTGGGAAGCGTAAATTGTTTCCTATCAGAGTGCTGCTGATACTGGACAGGTTAAAGTATGATGAATTTCTTTCATCTCATTGTTCTGCTATTCGTGACTCAGAAATTGTATCATGTGTTAACAATGATGTTCCTGTTTTGGGAAGGGGGATCTCCAGGAAAAAACAATGAGGAACTGATAAAACCAGCTGGGGAATCTCCAGGCACTGCGAGACTAACAATCTAGTATTTGGGTAGAAGAGGACATATCAGTTAATATAATCCTTAAATAATTCCCTCTATTTGTATCTTTTTTTCCTTTAGGGAGACTCCTACTCATTGGCAGCCTGTGCCAGGCACGAAAGCAGCCATGTTGGTCAAAGTGAACAGTTTGAGGCAGATCCAGAGCTCTTCAAGCAGTTCGCTTCAGCTGCAGAGCGCTCCAGAGGCCAGCAGCCAAAAATCTCTTCCAAAACCAGTCATATATGCCCAGCCTCAATCCGCGGCGCAGAGCCCTGGAGCCACAAAGCAAATGCCTGCAGGAGAAACAAAGCAGTCTATGCAGATCAAAAAGACGGAGAACGGTGGGTTTTGCCTAGTGCTGATGAATGGTCCAACTTCGCAAACACCTCCAAGGAGCCAGACTGGAAGCCCCCAGCCTACATCACCCAAGTATGCCTCCCCTGCACCTATATACGATGAGCCATCTCTAGAGTCTCCAATCTACGACGAGCCCCCAGTAGATATGGACACCGAAAGCGCCAGTATGAGCGGGATGTCACCACCAAGGTCGCCAAGCAGCAGCTTAAAAAAGCAGCTGCAGCCAACCAAATTATTGCAGCATCCAGGTATGCAACAGCAGCAAGCCGCAAGGAAGCATGCAAGAAATCCCTCTTCCGCTGAGTACAGCCCAGCTGGCAGAGAATATATAAAACACATGGTCAACGTTGACCAGTCTTCCAAACTCTCCCACTCTTCGGCTGCAACGGCGGATGCCTCTGCTAAACTGCCTGGGCAGCTTTCTTCAAAGGACAGCTTCAAACAGTCTTGGAGGATCTTGGAAGCCAACGTCCTCAAGAACATGGAAGCCCACCACAGTCGGCAGAACAGCCTGCAAACTCAAGAATACCCAACCGGCGTAAGCCATCAGGATTCTGGTTATTCAACTGGCCCTTCTCCAAGCTTGAGAAAAAGGAAAGGGAGGAGGCAAGGGACAGCTCAAGGAAGACCTGGCTCTGTGGGCAGCAGCAGTGAGCTCACGGCTTTGAACGATAAGCTGATTGCTGAGATGCGTGCGGTGGTGGGCAGGTCAGCAGCTGGCAGGGGAAGCAAAGCCAGCCTTGATGCTGAAAGTCTGGAGAACAGCATCCCGGCAGAGAGCAGCAAAGTCAGGTTTCAGTCTGACCACTTGAAAAAATGCATCAGCCGCAGCTCAAGGGACGACGTCTCGGCTAGTAATCGATCTCTGTACAGACAGGGCCTGGAGGGCAGGGGCACCTTTCCCAGCGATGTGGCAGCTCCACAGGACACAGTGAGGCAGAAGAGGACTTTTGAGAAAATAGATTCTTTAGAAAAGAATGTGACCAGCCAGACAAGTTTGGCTTCGTCAGACGCTACGCGCCACTCCTCCCAGGTACCTCCCCATCCGCTCCGGGTTAAGTCGTGCGCCTCTGCTGGGCTGCGGTGGTGCAGAACTGAGCACCTGGTCTGCTCCTGGCTGGGTTTGGTGCATGAGCTGCAGGTGAAACACATCCGTGCCTGCAGACCAGCAAACAGGATTCAAAGCTTCACAGCTTTGCATTTCAGGCCGGTGGTGTGAGAGGAGAGGGAGCTGCGGAGTTGCTCGTGCCCAGCAATCCCTCAGTGCTGCTGCATTGTTTGGGTGAAGCTGCTGCCTTGTCACTTTACTGGATCTCCTGTCTTCTTTGGTGGCCCTTAACCCTCTGCGCTGGGTTGGCTGGGGATGCAGGATGCAGTGTCACGATTTGCCTGGTCACGTGGCAGTGTTTTGGTTTCTTTCCCCTCTTTTTCTAATAGTTCCTCATATTCTGTTCTCCCTTCCAGTCATTCCTAAGCTTGAATGGAAATATTCAGAAAAGCAGTGACAGTGATTCTAGCATCTTCTGGTTGGAAGTAGCTGTTCTAAAGCCCATCCGTGTGCCTGCACAAGTGGAGTAGTTTTTCTCTATAACACAGCACTTCTGCAGACTTTAGTTTGCCAGTTTTCTTTCTGTTTGAATTTGAAGGAACCTCCTGCTTTCATGGTTTTAGTTCGGATTTAGGCTCTACATAGGTGATTTTATATCCTATGAGGCTTTTGTCCCTTTTCTCTTTGTTCACTCTTCAATTATTTCACTCCTGCTGAAAAAAATGAGTCTGTGCATCTCTTCTTCAAGGCTGATGAAAAATTACTATTTATTTTAACTCTTTGTTCTGTCTTTTCTACTGTTTGCTGGTCTGTGACCCTTCATGCAGAAATTTCGCAAAGCTTGACCATTTCAGATTGTTCCAGTAGACCAGTGAGGTGTAACTTTTCTCTAAAAGCCAGGCTGACACCTCCCTCCTCTGTCAGATTTACGTGTGTGCGTTCTCCTCCGTACTGTAATTTCTGACTGATAGTGTCTTGCTTTCACCTTGAAACCCTTTTTAAAGCTGAAGTCACGTTCCCATGTTTCCCATTTTTCAGGCCCAGGGCCAGTTTGAGTTTACACATCTCATATGTTCAGGTTAATAGTTCAGCAATTTAATTTCACAGTTTCGTTAGACTTGTTGGAAGACCGCTATCCGCTCTTCAGGATGTGTTACACCTCGTTACATCTATGGGGAGAGCTGAGACTTGGTGTCTTGGTTATGCACAAGAGATGGTGGGTTGGCGATAGGCTGTGAACGGCCTTGAAAACCAAGAAAAATAATTCATGTCTGGTAGCATGAAGGAGGAGAATACAGCAGAAGATGTAAGGAGATGGATGCTGTGGTAAAGGCAGTGAGTCAGTAATAAATACTCTGTTTACAGAAATACTCATGAGGTGTGCAAGTCCAAGTAAGGAGGGGAGGAGGTTGCAGAGAATACGGCAGCAAAATCGCTGCCTCACCTGCAAATGTGTGGCTTGAGTCACCAGCGATGTCCTGTGCTGGCCTTGCATGATGGGGAGGAGAATGGGAGACGAGGAAATTCATTATCTGGGGAGGGCGGGCAGAAGTTCTAGGACAGGCTGAGGAGAGGAGGATGTCTGCTGTCAGCACAAAGGTAATAGCTGGGTGCTTGTGTGAACGAGATTGGAGAGATAAACTTGAGAGAGAGGAGAGACCCAAGAGCCTGTTGAACCTCTGGAGTATGAGGAGGTGGATCCTCAGAAGTAAGATGCTGAAGGAGCAGTTAGGGTGGTGGGGGGAAAACCAAGCCCAGGAAAGGAAGGTGGATTGAAGGAGGCGGAGGATGATGATGGCAGAGAAGAGCTGCACACAGGGACTATTAGTCAGCATGTTGAGGGATTTAGAGAGAGTAAGGAGGGGTAACTTGGGGGATAAAAAACCCAAAACAAAGTAAAAAAGCAGGAGAAAAGATTGTGCCCCAGGCTGGCAGTAAGCGGCGGAGTGTGATGTGTGCTAATCCATCCCCCACATGCAGGTACCTGTTGGGTGTCAGATAGGGAAGGGTTGGACTGCACAAGCCCCTGTAGTTAGTTCAGCAGTTCCTCCATACTAAGCAGAAAACACTGACTTGCTCTGAACATTTAAGAACTAACGTGTGTTTTTGGATGGGCTGTAGTCTGGGACAGGAATACAACGTGGCGTGCAAGTTAAAGGTGATCTGCCAAGAAAGAAAATGGATGTTTTATTTCACTTTTACCACTGCAAACCCAAAATTTACAGGATTTCTGTGTCTTTGTCTTCCTTTAAAACCCAAAACCCGCAAGATTATCTTGTTTGGCTTTTTCCTCCTTGCTGGAGATCTCCTTGGAGAACGCAGAGCAAAGCACGGGCTGTTGAGCTCTTTGTTGCTGTAGGTGGGAATTTCAAATCTAACACAAAAATCTCTTTCCTAAACCAGCTTATTGTGTGTTTCAGTTCATTATGTGTCCCTGGCTGCCACTCCTGCCCAGAAAAGAGAATTCTCCTTGGGCAAAATAAGTGCCATATTCTCACAAGTAGTTATTGCACATTGTTTTGTGGGATCAGTGCTACGAAGGCCCTGATCATGTAGTTATCTGTGTAGTGATCACTGGGGAAGAAGGGTGGACAAGAGCTGCCGGTAAAGCTGCCTACAAGGTCTGGGAGGAAGGAAGGTCGTTGTCTCTCCTGCTTACCTCTGGGAGAGATGGGCTCTGGTGGGGTCAGCGCGCTTGTTCCTGCAGCAAATGAGTCTGATCACCGCAGACGTCGGGCGGGGAGCAGCTCTCCCTAGTTCTCCGAGAAGAAAAACCCCCCCAGGACTCGCAAACAATTCTGCCTGTTGGGCAGGAGGTCGTGGGGTATCTGTAGTGTACGGGAAGAGCCGGCTCCATTGGTGTGGAAGTCGCCTGACGCAGGTTGCCTTAACTTCACCAGCTCAAACATCCTTCATCCTACCCGGGTGACAGCTTTGCCATCAGAATAGCTGTGCCCCTGCCTCACTGTGCCTCTCTCAGCTTCTCCTGTCCCGTTTATGTCTGGCCAGAAGCTCCATTAGGAAGGTCGTGGTGGAATTGAGAGATATGTTTTCAGTGCCTTGGTGCAGAGGCTGTCCAGACACAGACTGCCCAAGCTCAGCAGCTCCTCCTCATTGCTAGCTATGTTGATTTGGTTTTGTATTTTGGGGTGTTTTTTGTTAGAACTTGGAAAAATAGTAGAGGCAGGAAGCAGCCATGGGATTGTAGGGGCCACGAAGGGCAAAGGTGAGAAGGAAACAGTGCTAATGGCTCTCTAGTCTCTGTAGTCTCTGCCCCCTCCTGGTGTTCTCCACCCACATCCTGGGCTCCTGTGGTTCCCCGGGAACTGAGAGGTGAAGCGTGGGGAGAAGCTTGGCTGCTTGGTGTGTGCTTGGTGCCACAGAGCTGTACTGCTGGCCCGGGAGTCAGCCCAGCTCCTGCTTAGGCTGTCCCCTGGAGCTCTGGGGCAGCTTGGACAAGCAGCGCTGTCAATCCGTGTCCCGCTGCTTCCCTTGGGGACAGCATCAGTGTGTGTCTGTGCCAGCCAGGCTCTTGCAAATCTACAGATGTCGGCCACTGATTCTGCACAAAATCATGTTTTGTACAGATTCACTGCTTTGCTGGTAGCTTCACGATAATTTTCCGAGCAGGGCAAGGGGTGGTGTAAGCTGCTTTTGACACGTCTGTTCTCTGTTGCAGCCCGGGACGATAGAGTTGGACCCCAAGCAGGAGAGCAGCAGCCAGCCCGGCAGCTGTGCGGGGTATCATTTCCCTTACAACACTCTGCGGAAGCCCATCTCTCAGAGCAGCATGGCAGACTGGGCTTCTAAAAACCTGAACATGCACACCCAGGGCATCTTCCGCCGAAGGATCTCCATCTCCAACATGCTGTCGTGGAACGGCGGCTCTATCAAAAAACCAATGCTCATCACTAGCAACCGCACCATCAAAAAAGAGGCGTGCGAGATGTTCAAGCTGGTGCAGAGCTACATGGGCGATCGCCAGACTCGCATGGACCGGAATCACGTGGCCTTAGTGACGGTCACCAAGTGCTGGAGCATGCAAGGTTTGCGGGATGAACTCTACATCCAGCTGATCCGGCAGACGACAGACAACACTTGCTACCGGAGTCTGGCGTGGGGCTGGGAACTGATGGCCATCAGTCTGGCCTTTTTCTCCCCGTCACCCAAATTTCAGTCTTATCTGGAAGGTTACATTTATCGCCACCTTGACAGCGATGAGAACAGTAAGTGCCTCGTGCACGCTCCCCCTGTCCCCAGCAGCCTTCTGGTGGGTTGTGCCACTTATTCAGGCTTGTCTGGCTTCTAAAATCACAAATTGAAAAACACAGGCCAGTGCCGTGGGTTGCGT